GTCAGGGCCACCTGTGTCTTCAGCATAGCTCTGAAGGCACCCAGAGTTGCAGGGCATGGAGTGACAAGCCCTTAGTGATCTGGGTTGAACCCCAAAGCATCACATTTACAAATTGTATAATAAGTTATTCCAGTATCTTTCCATGTATTGAAGTTAGGCTAACCAGACTATATATAGCTCCCTGGGTCCTCATTGTTCCCCTTTTTAAAGACATATACTATGTTTGCCCTTGTTCAGTCTCTGGGACTTTGCCCATCCTTCATGAGTTCTTGAAGGTAATTGCTAATGGTTCCAAGATTGCTTCAGCTAGTTCCTTAGATTCACTAAGACGAATTTCATCAGATCCTGATGATTTGAATACATCTAACTTACCTAAATATTTTTTAACCTGTTCTTTCCCTATTTTGGCGTGCATTCCGTCATTCATAAGCTTATTGTGAAATGCCCAGGGAGATTAGAGAGGCTGCAAATGCAGAAAACAATAATAGCTGAGGATTTCAGCTGTCCTTGTATTGATTGGATATATACGTCACTTCACGAAGTGATGAGAGAGAACTTCTAGATACCACAAATGACTGCTGCTTGGAGCAGCTTGTCCTGGAACCGAGAAGGGGAGAGGCAATTCTTGATTCAGTCCTAAGTGGCGCACAGGATCTGGTCCAGAAGGCAAATATAGCTGAACAGCCAAGCAGTAAGAGGAACAAAAAATGCCACCATGGCTAAACAGTGGAGTAAAAGAGGTAGTTTGATGCAAAAAGGAATCCTTTAAAAATTGGAAGTCAAATCCTAGTAAGGAAAATAAAAAGGAGCAAAACTCTGGAAAGCCAAGCATAAAAGGCAGGCCAAGAAAGAATTTGAAGACCAACCAACAAAAGACACAAAAGCTAACAGCAATAATTCTTTTAACTACATCAGAAGCAGGAAGCCTGCCAAACAATCAGTGGTGCCACTGGAAGATCGATGAGCTAAAGGAGCACTGCAGGAAAACAAGGCTGTTGCAGAGAAGCTAAATGAATTCTTCGCATTGGTGTATACAGCAGAGAAATACGGGTGAGATTCCCCCACTCGAGCAATTCTTTTTAGGTGACAAACCTGAGGAACTGTCCCAGATTGAGGTGACAATAGAGGACATTTTGGAACAGGTTGATAAATTAAACAGTAATAAATCACCAGGAGTAGATGGCATTCACCATATAGGAAACTGCAGAACTAGCTGTGGTATGTAATCTGTTGGTTAAATCAGCCTCTGTACCTGATGACTGGGGAATAGCTAATGCAATGCCAATTATTTAAAAAAGCTCAAGAAGCAATTCTGACAATTACACATCAGTACGCCTATCTTCAGTACCAGGTAAATTGGTTTAAACTATAGTAAAAACAAAAACAAAAAAACCCCACCAGAATTATCAGACACATAGAAAAACATAATATGTTGGGGAAGAGTCAACATGGCTTTTGAAAGGGAATTCATGCCTCACCAATCTATTCAAATTCTTTGAGGGAGTCAACAAGCACGTGGACAAGGGTGATCTAGTCAATAAATTTATGTGGACTTTCATAAAGCCTTTCATAAGGTCCTGCACCAAAGGCTCTAAAGCAAACTAAGCAGTCATGGGATAAGAAAGAAGGTCCGCTCAGGGACCAGTAGCTGGCTAAGAGATAGGAAACAAAGGATAGTAATAAATGGTCAGTTTAATGGAGAAAGGTAAATAGCTGCATCTCCCAAAGGATCTATACATACAAAATGACAGGGTCTAAATTAGCTGTTACCATTCAAGAAAGAGGTCTTGGAGTTATTTTCAGAGAACTATCCATATCAGTTCAGTGTGCAGTGGCAATCAAAAAAGCGAAGAGAATGTAAGGAACCATTAGGAAAGGGATAGATAATAAGACAGAAAATATCGTAATGCCACTATACAGCTACACGGTATGCCCACACCTTGAATACTGTGTGCAATTCTGGTTGTCCCATATCAAAAAAAGATATATTAGAAATGGAAAAGGTGCAGAGAAAGGCAACAAAAATGATTAGGGGTATGGAACAGCTTCCATATGAGGAGAGAGAAAAAAGATTGCAACTGTTCAGCTTGGAAAAGAGATGACTAAGGGGGCATAGCATAGAGGGCTATAAAATCATGAATGATATGGAGAAAGCGAATAGGGCAGTGTTATTTATCCCTTCACATAACACAAGACTTAAGGATCACCCAATGAAATTAACAGGCAGCAGGTTTAAAACAAACAAAAGATGTACTTCTTCACACAATGCATAGTCAACTTGTGGAATTCATTGTTATGGGATGTTGTGAAGGCCAAAAGGTATAAACCAGTTCAAAAATGAATTAGATAAGTTCATGGAGAATAGTTCCATCAATGGCAATTACCCAAGATAGTCAGGGATGCAACCCCATGCTCCGGGTATACCTATAACTCCAACTGCCAGAAGCATCTGCCATTGTCAGAGACAGAATACTGGGCTAGATGGAGCATTGTTCTGACCCAGTATGGCTGTTCCTTTGTTCTTAACTACAGTGATGCTACTGCCCCAGTTACAAATCATCTTCCTTCCTCCTTCTGAGTGAGCAAAGACAGACAATGTGGAAAGAACGAAGTAGCGGCAACTTATCGAGGGGGAAGGAGGAAAGTGTGGCTCTTAATCTTGCAACAGCTGCTCCCCACTGAGCGAAAAAAATATAACCTACCAGAGGCACTACTCAAAACCACAAGTTTAAAATAAAACTGCATAAGGGATATAAATCCTCATGCTTCAGAGCATAAGCCAAATCACCACCTGCCTGGGATTAGGCAGAACTGTTTACTTTTTGTATTGCAGGGGACCATGGATGCATGGGGCAGTGTTGCATCTTTTTCTGAAACATCTGATAATGGCCACTGTCAGACACAGAATACTGGTCTAGACCAGGGGTTCTCAGCCTTTTTCTTTAGAGACCCCCCTCCATCCCCCAAACATGCTATAAAAACTCCATGGCCTAGCTGTGCCACAACAACTGTTTTTCTACATATAAAAGCCTGGGTTGCATTAAGGGGTAGCAAGTAAGGCAACTGCCCAGGGCCCCATGCCACAGGGGGCATCGCAAAGCTAAGCTGCTCACGGTTCGGCTTCAGCCCCACGTGGTGGGGCTCAGAGCCCCAAGCTGTAGTCCTGCATGGCGGGGCTTTGGCTTTCTGCCCTGGGCCTTAGCGAGTCTAACACCAGCTATGCTTGGCGGACCCCACGAAACCTGCTCACGGGCCCCCAGGGGAAGGGCCTGGACCCCTGGCTGAGAACCACCTGATCTAGACCTACCATTGCTCTGATCTATTATGGTATTTTTTATGAAGAAGGTTTGGGGGGGAGAGGAGAGAAATCACAGTTCACTATAAGGTTACACTATACTTTTCTGCAGCCACTGAAAGTGACAATAAATTTACACTACCATAAATTACTACTATCAGTAATAATTGTAGTACTATCAGTTTTTATAAACTATTTTTTTTAATTGATCCTAATTTAGGCAGTGATAAAGGAATGTTAAATTATCCCATTTTCATTTTGGAAACTTCTTTAGACAGTCATAGAACCGTACGATGCATCTTGCTCATGTGCTCAGAGGTCACTGCAATAAGGTCTTAGGGCTTGTTTACATGAGGAAGATGCACCTGTTTAACTAAGGGCACCGCTACACTGCACACTGCTTTTGGCAGCATGTAGAATAAGTACGCATGTAGACCCCCAGCACAGGTATAACTAGCAGTGAGGCATGGCTCAAGTGAGTAAAGACACACCTGAAGGGTGTGGGCATGTATGTGAGTACATACCCTACATGGCTCTCTATTCGCCCAAGCCATGCCTCCCTGTCTTTGCTGCTATTTTTAGCAGTATAGCATTCTGCTGCATCCCCACTGCTGGAGCCTTTCCCCTGTGCAGGAAAAGACTGTCAATAGGGAAAGATTCTGGCAAGGGGAGGCAATGGGGAAAAGCCTGGGCAGTTCTCCATTGCAGAGCCTTTCCCCACTGCATGGAAAGACTCTAGCAGGGATGAAAGGCTCTGCCAGCTCCCTGCCGTTGGAGCCTGTCCCCACCACAGGAGCAGTGGGAAAAGGGTCCGTCAGCTCCCCACTGCTGGAGCCTTTACCCACCGAGGGGAAAGGCTCTGGATGGGGAGGGGGAGTGGGGGCACTTGGGAAGGCTCAATCGTTCCTTGCCAGGGTGAAAGGCTCTGGCACCAGAGAGCTGCTAAAGCTTTTCCCCCAATGTCTCCTCCACGCCAGAGACTTTCACTGACGTGTAGCTACACCCTGCAGTGTGGTCACAGCAGTCTTGTAGCTACATGTACCCTAAACACTGCTTCCAGTGATGTGTAGTGCAGACATAGCCTCAAGGTGTAATTTTAACACAATTTAGTTTATGTCAGTGCAAAAGGCTGTGTGAACACTTCAGTTTTGCTTAAGTCAATTAGGAATCAACTTAAGCAAAATGAAATAAGCCTGTTTTAAATTAAATTACAGTGTACACACAGCATTTTGCACTTGTTTAAAAATGTTTTACGTAGAAGCAGTACAACTTCTGCATGCATACAAGGGCTTATATTAGTGAACTTGCACTGAGTTCATCAACCTCTGTGGCTGACTCAAAGCTATCCTTAAGCTAATCAGACAGAAAATCAAAAGAACCTCACATGTTATCAAATACTGATATTACTATAACAGAGGCCACAGCTAGTATTATAACAATCCAATTTATGAACTGTAATAAATCATTAAGAATATTGGCACCCTATCACTGTCTGAACAAAATAGGTTTACATTAACTAAATGTTAATAAAGATAAATTGTTTTTGTAATTGAAAATTACCAAAGATACATATATAAAACTGATTAAGGAATTCAAAGTGGGATTTATTACTGCAACAGATTAAAACTATATCAATGAAAACAATGATTATTGAACTATAAGTTTAAGTTTACATCTTTGTTCCATGTAAATATCAATAAATTACCTTTGAGAAGTCCAGAATTATCAATGGGACCAGGGTACACATTCTGATCTCCCATCTGGTATTTGTCCCAGCTGTCAAACCCAACATATTTTTTCCACTGTTTGAACCAGCGACTATCCACTAAATACCTTGAAAAGGGAAAACAGAATTATTGGAAAAATCTGAAGCATGGTTTTAGTACTTTAATATAATTGACATAAAATAAGGTAGGATAGTTGCATGTGAATTACTCTGACTTACGGGGCACCATCAATCGGAAATCTTAAAAATGTGTGCATGTGTGTATGCACGAGTTCGTCTCTCTCTCTATATATAAATGCACTGGCAGATAGCTAAAGTCATCCTGCCAATCACTCCTCAGGCCCCCAATCTCTTTTAATTTTAGTAATATTAAGCATTACAACAGCATGTTCAAATTTTCAGACACAGGTATTATTTATAACATCCAATCTGTATTGTACTTCACACAGAACTCAATTTTTCGCCTAATGAAGTAAAGGCAAAATTCCCACTGACCCATAGTGCAGTCAGTTGAAAAATGTGGCAGTTCTGCAGAGATCGGAAGTGTCAAGTATTACTACACACACACGCAAAGCATTACAACTGTCAGCTTGGATTTTTCCTGCTTCATAAAATTCCCAAAGCTGATTTAGTAACTTTTAAAACTATAATATGATGCTTTTAAAGGCCCATGAAAATTATTTTTTCCTCCAAGGAGGAATCCATGCAACTGGCCAAAGAGAAAACACAAGATGAAAAATATTAATCTCTCCATAACTGATTTCTTCCACAGTGCAGTCTGCTTGATTCCTCCCATCTTTTTTAAAATTAGCAAAATTTATAATACAAGACAAAAAATCTATATAAATCAGTACAAGTGATAAATAAAACAATGTAAAACTTTAGAGCCTACAAGTCCACTCAGTCCTACTTCTTGTTCAGCCAATTGCTCAGACGAACAAGTTTGTTTACATTTGCAGGAGATAATGCTGCCCGCTTCTTGTTCACAATGTCACCTGAAAGTGAGAACAGGTGTTCTCATGGCACTGTTGTAGCCAGCATCGCAAGATATTTACATGCCAGATGCACTAAAGATTCATATGTCCCTTCATGCTTCAACCACTATTCCAGAGGACATGCGTCCATGCTGATGATGGGTTTTGCTCAATAACAATCCAAAGCAGTGTGGACCAACGCATGTTCATTTTCATCATCTGAGTCAGATGCCACCAGCAACAGATTTTCTGTTTTGATGGTTCAGGTTCTGTATCCGTATCAGAGTGTTGCTCTTTTAAGATATTTGAAAGGATTCTCCACACCTGATCCCTCTCAGATTTTGAAAGGCAGTTCAGATTCTTAAACCTTGGGTCGAGTGCTGTAGCTATCCTCAGAAATCTCACATTGGTACCTTCTTTGTGTTTTCTCAAATCTGCAACGAAAGTGTTCTTAAAATGAACATGTGCTGAGTCATCATCCGAGTCTACTATAACATGAAATATATGGCAGAATGTGGGTAAAACAGAGCCGGAGACATACATTTGTGACTGAACTCCTTGGGGGAGAATTGTAATTAACGCTTTTTTTTTTTTTTTTTTTTTTTAATTTATGAACATCATCAGCATGGAAGCACGTCCTCTGGAATGGTGGCCGAAGCATGAAGGGGCATACGAATGTTAAGCACAGGGGTTCTCAAACGGGGGGTCAGGACCCCTCAGGGGGTCGCAAGGTTATTACATGAGGTGGGGGGGGGTCACAAGCTGTCAGCCTCCACCCCAAACCCCGCTTCACATCCAGCATTTAGAATGATGTTAAATATATAAAAAAGTGTTTTTAATTTATAAGGGGGGGTTGCACTTAGAGGCTTGATATGTGAAAGGGGTCACCAGTACAAAAGTTTGGCACTTAAATACATCTTGCATTGCTAGCTACAAAAGTCCCATGTGAATGCCTGTTCTCAATTTCTGGTGACATTGTAAATAAGAAGTGGGCAACATTATCTCCTGTAAATGTAAACAAACTTGTTTTTCTTAGCGATTGGCAGAACGAGAAGTAGGACTGAGTGGACTTGTAGGCTCTAAAGTTTGACACTGTTTTGTTTTTAAGTGCAGTTATGTAACAACAAAAATCTACATTTGTAAGTTGCACTTTCACGAAAAGAGATGCACTACAGTACTTGTATGAGGTGAACTGAAAAATACTATTTCTTTTATCATTTTTAAAGTGTGAATATATGTAATGAAAAATAATAATATAAAGTGACCAGTGTACACTTTGTATTCTGTTTTGTAACTGAAATAACTATATTTGGAAATGTAGAAAAACATCCAAAATATTTAATAAATTTCAATTGTTAAATAATAGAATACCAATGTGATTAAAACTGTGATCAATCAACAGCCCTACTTTGGAGAAATCCAACAACACTGTTCACTGACCAACATTTAGTAATGTGTCTACCATAATGAACAACTGGAGCAAGTGAAGTTGAAATAACAGTTCTGTGTCCATAACAGACTGGATAAAACATGCACTGGTTATGCATTAAAGCACTCAATTTTTTCACTACTAGTAGCTTTCAGCTACATCTTTACTACAATTACAATTGTAAAAGTTAACGTAACAGTACAACTACACAATTAAAATAGTGATGAAATACAAAATGTAAGGCTGATTAATTATGAAAGCTTAAATTTAAATTAAAGAACTCATCTCCTGTCTTGATTAATATAACCTCTACATTAGCCCCCCCCCCCCCCATTTCTTTTTTCTTCAGGAGATGCAAAAAGCTGTCCTAATGCCATCATTTTGACTACATCATGCTGTTTCTACTTGTATTCAGAGCCCAATAGCTCCCATTTTGCCATCACATTAAATTTAAGGTTTTTGTGAACCCCTTAAAATATTTCCACACTGTAATTAAAAACACGCAACTGGGCCATGACGACTGACTCAGGCTAAGGGGCTGTTTAATTGTAGTGTAGACATTCTGGCTCAGGCTGGAGCCTGAGCTCTGGGACATCCCCAGCCCCCAGCACGGGGTCCCAGAGCTTGGGCTTGGCAGCTACACTACAATTAAACAGCCCCTTAGCCCACGCCAGCTGGCACGGGCCAGCCATAGGTGTCTAAACGCAGTGCCAACATACCCTTAAAGGCCCATCATAACTCCACCTGACTTTTCTACCCTTGTCTTTGGGAACTTCGATAATTCTGGAACTGCTCCAGCAGTTCTGTCAGCCTTGAGAACCCTTTTGTCAACTTAATCAAATCTCTCCCCCGCACTTTGTTCCCCACATTGCCTATAAACAGAACATTATCCTGAGCTGGCACGCAAACCCAATGCCCTTTCCTCATTCACTTAAAACTTCCTAAAGAGCTACTTCTTCCATAATGTTTACAAGAAACTAGCTAACTAAGCCATCTACTTATCTGTTATCATATAAATGAACCAGGTGTGTTGTGATTCTCCAACCTTGAAGCAAACATTTTTTTCTGGAAAAAGGCCAAGGAAGGAGGCGGGTGAGGGAGACAAGCTAGGAAACTTTAATGAAATGGAAAGCATGACACATATTATACAATACATGCTGAATGCCTATTTACTCCTCAAACATAAAACCATTGTCAAAAATGAAAAGCATGTAAGTAAAACACATGCAATAAATGAGTCCCCAGTCTACTGACTACTTTCAAACTTTCCTTTCTTTTGCATCTGTTAGATATCAGTACACTCTGAGCAAATCATTGATGCTGAACTGGCCAAAAAGGAATTCAGATCTTTTAAAAATTGACAAAATTCTGAATTCAGCAGTCCTGTTGGTGAGATAAGAGGGGTCTGTATGCACAGGGGTTGGGTGGATGGGGGAGCAGCTCCCTGCACAGGGATCCCTCTCCCTGCAGCTGAGGAACGATTGGTGCAGGAAGTGAGTGGCGCAGGAGGGTGGGGGGAGTTTTCAGAGCTTCCTGCAGCTGGGGGAGAAATCTGGGGGTGGAGTCTGACCCAGTGATGGATGCCATGCCATGCAGGGGAAGAGGAAGTCCCGTCCTCCCTAGCAGAGCCGGGACTAGCAGCTGACCTGGTCAGGATAGGAGCCACCAGCCAAGTCTTCCCCAGGCCCACCCTCTACCCCACAGTGATTTACCTCTCTGCTGGCTGGCCTGGGTACCTGAAAAATACTGATGTGGAGGGTCGCATGACTGCTCTTGTGGCTTCCCTTTTCTCCCCCCATCAGAAAGTCATTTTTCTGCAGGGAAGCAAAGGAATCTGTGGGGGACATAAATTCTGTGCATGTGCAGTGGCACAGAATTCCCCCAGGAGTAAACTTCCTGTGGTCCTCATTTTAGATGTAGAATGCATCTGTAGGAATGCATTCTTCCACTGTACGTTACCAGGTCACTTCTCCCATTCAACCAGCCATCTTGCATTAAAAACCAAAACGGTTTTTAATTCTCCCTTAAATTTTCCACATTATTTCTACATCTGTAGTATTTGGTAATGGAACTGAAAGTTGAATTTGTCTTGTTGTATACCTGAAGTGCAGTACTTAAAATGGTTTGGTTAAATTACTCATTTTGTGCTAGCATAGCTCTCAACCTTCAAATCTGCCAGTGTGTGACACTAGCAATCAAAATGTGCGATAAATGACCCAAGTGTGGAATACCTGTATTTTACTGTGTTTAATACCACAGTTTACAGATTATAGGCATTTTAAACTATAAAATCTGTTTTAATTGTACAAAATAAATAGTAAAAAAAAAAAATCAGGAAAACAAATTCTATCAGATGAAACTATTAGGTCCCCCACACAGGTCATTAGAATTTGAATCCTGTACCTTCAGATCTCGAGCACAGACTTCTACCTTTTGAACTACACTAGTAAGTTACCTTTCCGGTAGATCAGTTCTGGAAGGGGATTTTAGCAAATAGTTTCTAACTATCAACCAGTCCTTTTAAAATTCATGGATGCAAGTTATGTGGACCTGCTGATTTAAAAACGTCTAACTTCAGTAGTTTCTGTTTATCATCCTCCAGTTATACTAGTGGAATGGAAAGAGTGTTATCAACATATGATATTGCATCATCTGTTTTTTCCCCAAATACAGAACAGAAATATATATTGAATACTTCTGCCTT